GGTGCTAGGAAAAATAAAATAAGACTCACCTTGGGACGAAGTATTTGAGTATTACTGACCTGATTCTATGGGAAAGAGGGGCTGGATTGACAAGTGATGTTCCTAGTGAGAGCTAGCGTCTCAGTTGTCACCAAGCGCCATGCCGATGGCCAGGCAGAGCTGCAGCACTTCCCTTTTGAAGGAATTCTAAAACCACACTTGGTTTTGACTCATGTTTTCACTGTCTGTTTAGCGTACTGTGGGCTGGCCATGTGACTGAAAACAGCTGGGGACTCCAAAATCCTCTGGGGACAGTCTGGCCAGGTTGTTACTGAACCTCTAAAGACCTTGTCCACAGCAGGGTACAAAGCTCAGTGACTGTCTACAGTTCTAGGTGTAGATGGCTCAGTGGGGTTCTAGACTGCTCTGGGTGTTGTAGTAACCTACACTTCAGAATCCTGCTAAGCCTTTTCATTCTGTACGTTAGAACAACACTGATGATCTAGGGCTCTGGGTAAGAGCACTTGCTACTCCTGCAGATGACCTGGCTTGGTTCCTAGCACCTACATGGTGACTCAATGATCGTCTGTCACTCCAGTCCAGGAGATCCGATGACCTCTTCCGGCATCTGAGGAGACTTTAACTTCAGTAGGTGCGTGTATACATAAAATAAATCTTTAAAAGACAACACACTCATCTCATGGACAGTTCAGGATTACTGAAGGATACACGGGAGAGGCTTTTGGAGAGGGAAGTGTGAAAACCAGGCTGTGTCGCAGTGGGATGAAGATCCTCGTGGTGGTCACTTTCCTGGCTTCTGTGGGCCTCTTCCTGTGGGAAATGCTGTAGAAGGGCTTCTTCCAACAGGAAGTTGCATCATATGACATTTAGGGGTCCTGTAGGGTTCTACTTTACCCTTTCTTCTGCTTTCTAGTCCCTAATAGTCTCTTCTAGTCCCCACCCCTAACATAATGATAATACCTGGCAAAATTCCTGAGGTTCAACATCGGAGTAACTAGGCAGATAATAGTCATGTGACCTACCGAACTAGTGTGGATCCACAGGCGTCACATCGGGACATTCCTGTAAGCCAGAGGTGATCTGGGATAGAGGTTGGTGCTGGGTCTTTGACCCTCACCATCCTGTTTTCTTCTGTGACAGTGTCCTGATTGGAGTTCCCCCAACACACACAGAGGCCTATGGCTTCAATGCTAACTAGCAGGCTGACTTTTTATTTTATGTGTAGGGGGGTTTTGCCTGTATGTATGTCTGTGCACCATGTGTGTGCAGTGGCTGCAGAGGCTAGAAGATGGTGTTGGACCCCTTTGACTGCAGTTACAGAAGGTTGTGGGTCCCCATGTGGTTCTGGGGATTGAACTCTGGTTCTCTGGAAGAGCATCCAATGCTCTTAACCACTGAGTTAAGCCGTTTCTCCAGCCCCTGAGGCTATCTTATAAAAATTCAGTGTTACAATAAAATCCAAGCGTAGAACAGATGAGAGCTGGGACTCCGTAGAAAAGAGGGAGACAGAGGCTGAACTCTGCCCCACTGGCCCCTCCCCTACTCTCCGTGTAACCCCTGGTTTGAGCATGGCTGCTCCAGATTTGGTCTGTTTTCAGCTTTCCTTTTGAGTCTTTTGTTTTCTGGACTTTGGTGGCAGCTGTTATCATTCCAGCTGTAGAGGGAATGGGAGGCAACTTCCTGTTATTCTATCCTGCCATCTCTATGGGGGTGGACATTCCCTCCCCCTCCTGTGGCTGGCTGTGGTTTTGGAAGAGCTGGAGTCTGGAGGCCGCCATCCCATTACTAGGGCTGGAGGAGTGGCTGGAAACACTGACTGAGCGAAGAGGAGGCTGGGATGGCAGAGGGAGGTCAAGGGTGAGTTTAGAAGATTCAGGAGGGAGTTAGGGGTTGGATGAGTGACTAGCGGGTGGAGGAGGGGGAGGGGAAGGGAAGGTGGCCACTAAAAGGGACAGGAAGGGATGGAGGGAGGGAGAGAGGCGGAAACCCACTAGGAGATGGTTGATGTTTTTGGCTAGAAATAATTTGTGAGTAGACTGCATGTGAAGGGGGAAGAAGTGACATGATCCACTCTCCAGCCCTGTATAGTTGTTATATTTGCTGAACTCTTTCATTGAATTTGGCATAAGGAACACACAGAGGGACTGAGCATGAAGCTTGCTCTTCAGAAGTTTTAAATGCTGAGTATGTGATACAGGCCTACAATCCTGTCACTCTGGAGGCTGAGGCCAGCCTGGGCTGCATAGTGGGTTCCAGGCTAGCCTGGACTACATAATGAGATTGTTTCAAATATTCATTTTCTGTGTGTGGTGACATACGCCTTTAATTCCAGCATTCTGGAGGCAGAGGCATGTGGATCTCTGTAGATTCCTGGCCAGCCTGTTCCAAAGTACCCAGGTTACATAGTGAGACCCTGTCTCAAAACACATAACCCACCCCCATCACAAAGTACACATGTTAACAGAAGGCTAGGACTATCTCTAACTGGGTAAGCACAACCACATCCTACACACATGTAAAATACCCCGTAGGATAACCTTGGATAGGTCTTGTCAGCCCCACTTAGGGTGGAAGTAACTTGTCCAGTGTGACACCAAGCAAGTGGCAGAGCCCTGCAAAAGGTCCCTGCCCTGTTTCTTCACTGTAGCACCCAGCTGAGTCTTGACAAAGGACAAAAGCCTTAACTGGACCTGGCCAGAAGAATGGGCAATCCAGCTACACCAAAAGCTGACACCCAAGCATCGGTCTGTGAGTTTTTATCATCGATGATGGATTCCCAGGACAGATGAGGGAGGTAAGGTTGGAGTCGGGGGTAAAATAGAAGCCAGATTAGGGATAGTTGAGGAGGCGGGCTGAGACCTTCAGGGGAGGGTGTTGATGACAAGAGCAAACATTATTTCGGAAGCTCGTTTGGTTTGGTGTAGAGAATCATAGCTGGAGAAAGTAGAGCCAGGAATGCAGGTGAATGAAGACGTTGGAATAGAGTCGGTCAGACAAATACCATGTGACAACATAAAGTAGGCGTGAGCACAGTGGTTCAGTCTAGATTACTTCTGCAGTGTTAGAACGTCTAAAGTTGTGTGGAGTATGAACAGTCAATGCTCTTTTTTTCTAAACGTGTCAGACGCTCCCAGTTACCTGTGTGCATTGTGTGTGTAGTACCCCTGTAGGACTGAAGAGGGCGTCAGATCCCCCGTATCAGTTACAGGCTGCTGGGAGCCTTGCTGAGCCTGGCTCCTTGTGTTAAAATCAATGTACCTCCCATGGACTGGGGGGCTGGGAAGATTACATGGGGCGCAACGATGGACATTGTGAATCCATCCCACATTTTTGCAGAAGGGTGAATGTATGACATCAATCAAAGAACAAACAAACAAGCCAACTGGAAAGTCGCATGTCACACACCTTCACCCTAGCATTGGTGAAGAGGACGCAGAAGGCCCTTGAGTTCGAGGCTAGTATTTGCTATATAGTGAGCTCCAGATAGCCTCAGCTACCTAAGAATCTGCCTCAAAAAAACTGAAATCAAATTAAATCACCAATCAACACACACACAAACCCGACATCTTCCATCCCCCAGAAAATCAAAGCCAACAAAAAGCTAACAGAAATTGTTCTTCTAGATGACGATGGCTATAGTTTGACACCTATATACATATTCTGTATACATAAAGTCACCTTTCATCATTCCATTCTGTCCTGGGTCTGATGGGGAAATTGAAAGAAGGGTTCCTGAGAACCTTCCTGACTTAGCAGCCAAGAGGATTATGCCGCTGATATCCACCGGAGAGTAAATAGTAGTTAATTCTTAATTGTTAGCTCAGTCACTGCAATTGGTTCAACAGTAATTATTATCGTGTGGTTTGAACTCAGTCGTGAGGGTTCTTCCTCTTCAATTGTGCATCAAAACAGCAACCTATGGTGCTTAAAGTTTAGGGCAGGGGCTGAAGAGATGGCCAAACAGTTAAGCCCTTCTGCTCCTTTTGCAGAAACACCGAGTTCAGTTCCCAGCTCCTACCTCACAGCTGCCAGTAATTCCAATGCCAGTAACTGCCAGTGAACCTAGTGCTTCTCCAGGCTTGGTGGCGCACATCTTTAACCCCGGCACTCAGGAGGCAGAGGCAGGCCGATCTCTGCTCCTGGTCTACAGAGTTTCAGGACAGCCAGGACTACACAGAGAAACCCTTCTCGAAAAAACAAACAAACAAAAACCCAACAAAAGTAATAAAAGCAAATCTTTAAAGAACAGGTTAGTGCTGGGTTTGGTAGTGTGGGCCTGCAATCTCAGCCACTAGGAAGGCCAGCCCAGAAGGGTAACAATTTTAAAATCAGCCTTGGGATACAGTGAGATCCTGTCTCAAAACAAAACCAAAATGTAAATAGTAAAATTTCCTCTCCCTCAGCAGAGTCCATTTTATTTGCCTGAAAGCTTGCATGGTGTGTGGTTTTATTTATTTTTTTTGTCACTGCATGCAAAAGCAACCACGTGGTTGAGCGCCAACAGTTGACCACGCAGCGCTAGGGTGACCGCATCTGGGATGCCCTAGTCCTCCCAATCTCTGCAAGTCCTCAGTTTCCCCCGGGCCGGATCCCCGCGGCCCGCGCTGGCCTTCCGGGCCTTCGCTTTATCCGCAGGGCTCCCCGCCGGCCGTGTCCGCCCCGTCCGCGACACGGAGGCGGTTTTCGGGGTGAGTGCCGCTTCTGCTCCGGGAAGAGCGGCGACCGGAGCCCACGGCTCTCCGCCGTCCTTTCAATGCGCTCGGACCGCAGCCGAGCCAGTCGCGCTTCCCACCGACGCCCACTTCCAGCTCCGCCGGGCTCCGCCAGGAATGTGGGAGCCCCGGCGGCGCCTCGGAGTGACCGCGCGCCGGGCCAATCAGCGGGCCGCAGGCGCGAGGCCCCGCCCCCTCCGCCCCCGGGGCTGGTTCCCGCCGGGGGCGGGGCGGGCCGCGGAGCACCGAGGGGAGGCGGCACCTGGGCGGCGGTGATGTCAGCCCGGCCCCGTGCTCCGGCCCGGGCTCCTGTCGCCGTGTAGGGCGCGGGGCGACCGCCGCGGGAGCAGCGATCTGGCAGCCGCGCCGGCGCCGGGAGGCGGGACCGCAACTTGTGGAGCTCGGCGGCCCTCCGCCCCAGGTAAGCCCGCGGGCGGTTCCTCCTGCGAGCCGCGCTCGCGTCCCCCGGGACCCCCACTTCAGGGAGTGGGGGGCAGCCTGGGGCTGACAGGAAGGGCTCGTCCCGGTCCGCGGCCCCTGCATCCCGACCCCCCCACAGCACAGAACTCCAGTCAGGGCAGGGTGCTCCGAGCTCACACCCCGGGACTCCACACCACAGACTCCAGTCAGGAAAATGTGCTCACACCCGGTCTCCCCTCCACACCACAGTCTCCAGTCAGGGCAGTGTGCTCCTAGCTCACACCCAGACTCCCATCCACAGACTCCAGTCAGCGAACTGTGCTCCCAGCTCACACCCGGGACTCCCCTCCACACCACAGACTTCAGTCTGGGCAGGGTGCTCCGAGCTCACATCCTGGGACTCCCCACCACAGACTCCAGTCACGGAAGTGTGCTCCCAGCTCTCACCCGGTCTCCCCTCCACACCACAGACTCCAGTCAGAGACGTGTGCACAGTCTTATACCATGGGCTCCCTACCACGCCAGACTCAGCCAGGGAAGTGTGCGCCCATCTCACACTCCAGACTCCTCCCCACCACACCACAGACTGATGCCACACAACTCCAATCAGGGAAGTGTGCTGGGATCCCACACCCCACAGTCTCCACCACACCAGTCTCCAGTCAGGGAACTGGAGTGGGACTCCGCACCCTGCACTCCCGCTGATGTACCACAGATTCCAGTCAGAACTGTAGCGGAACCCCGGATTCCCTGATCCCTGTGTAATATCACAGAACTCCAGTCTTGGAAAGTGTGCTCAGACCCTGAATCTCAGTTTCCCCGTATTATTAGAGATGCCCACCAGGGATGTGTGCTTGAACCCAGTCTCCTACACTATTACAGAACCAGCAGGGAAGTGCATGTGCGTTTGGGGATAGGAGTGAAGAATATTTAAAAATGCCACAGATTTTTGTGAATCATCATCCCCAGAAAGTAAAGAGAAATCGTTATATTTTTTTTCAGTTTCTTTACACCCTACTATATATTGCTTAAGTGAAAGAATATCGACGTTATTCTTACATGTCAATGTAAGATATTCTTTTACATAGTCCAGTCAGGATCTGAGAAATTCACTTGAGATGTACTCACCGTTTGTAGGAAAACTGGTTTCTTGGGACCACAGTTCTAAAACTGTTGCCGTGTACGCACCAGAACGGTTAGGAAGGCTGCTGACAATTTAGACCTTGCCTGGGGCTTCTTGAGTAAAGGTGGAATGAAGGCTGTTAGGTGTGTTTTCAGAGTTCATTTTTAGAGAAAGGAGTTTACATTTTATTTTATTACTTTTAAAACAGAGTTTCACTATAGCTCTGGCTGGCCTGAAACTCACTGTGTAGACCAGTCAGGCCCGAAACTCAACAGACATCTGCCTGTCTCTGCTTCCTGAGTGCTGGGATTAAAAGCCTGTGCCAGCACACCGGTTGGGAAAGGAGTTTTAACAGGGAAATGTAGTGGAAGGCTTAGTATACAAACTCTTAATAATGAGAATATGACTTTTTCCAACATGTGGGACAAAAACAAATCCTTGCTTCCAGTAAGGATTGAGAGCAATGCAGAGGGAACTCAAAAAGTCTGTTAAATAGAGAGAGCAATTGTCTTTGGTAGGATTCTGATTTTTATTTCTTGTTTCAAACCCCTTTTCTTGCTGGGAGATTTTTCTGTGCACAGGTCACTGAGTGTGATTGGTTTTCTGGGGGAAAATTAACTCCGAACACACTGATTCTAATGCTGGCTCTATCAGTATTTCAAGCTCTTAGAGCAAGAAAAAGAAAGCACATAGCTGGGACTTGTGAGTGGAGCAAGTTTCCCCTCTCAGGGCAGCAGTTCCTCAGCAGAGAGGATTCTCTCGGTTGCCAAGTCTGGAGGAAGTAGGAGTGGACCTCATTGTTAGTCAAAAGCTGCATCCCCAACTCTGACCTAAAGGGCATTTCCAGGAGCTGTGCAAGAATCTAGTAAACCCAAGTCAGGAAGTGTGGGGATAGAGGACTTTAAAGATGGAATTTAAAAGATATCTCTGTAGTCAAACCTGGAAAGGGCATTTGTGTTTTGTTTGCTTTGTTTTCAGAACACCTTGGTCAGTATTGTTCTCAGTTCCTGGAATATTGAAATAGCGCAGGGTATTTGGAGGGCAGACTTTTTGACCAGGATCTCCCCACTCCCCTCTTTCTTCATTGAGACAGGCTCTCACCATGTAGCTGAGGCTGGCCCTGAACTTTTTTTTTTTTTTTTTTTTGGTTTTTCGAGACAGGGTTTCTCTGTGTAGCTTTGCGCCTTTCCTGGAACTCACTTGGTAGCCCAGGCTGGCCTCGAACTCACAGAGATCCGCCTGACTCTGCCTCCCGAGTGCTGGGATTAAAGGCGTGCGCCACCACCGCCCGGCGGCCCTGAACTTTTGATCTTGCTCCCTCTGGCATTACGTGTGTGTGCCAGCAAGAACAGGCTTTTTGAAAAGGGAGTATGTGCTTTACAGGATCAGAACATTTTAATTTTGGCTGCGGTTTTGGACTAAACATAGAAATAACTAATGGCCCAGCAATAATATTGGACAAAATTTTGGTGTTTTTTTTTTTTTTTTTTTTTTCCGAGACAGGGTTTCTCTGTGTAGCTTTGCGCCTTTCCTGGAACTCACTTGGTAGTCCAGGCTGGCCTCGAACTCACAGAGATCCGCCTGGCTCTGCCTCCCGAGTGCTGGGATTAAAGGCGTGCGCCACCACCGCCCAGCAAAATTTTGGTGTTTATGTTCAATGAAATTATATAAAACATATTATATTTTCTAGTGCTCTTTTCTTTTATTAGGAAAGAGATATGGAGTTCCTATGGGTGTTAAGGTGAGCATTGTGTAGCCATAGTTGATAACAGTATTTAGACAACAGCATGCAGCTAAAAGAGGGAACCTCAAAAACCACACAAATCGATCAAAAAATATCTTTAGGATGTATATACATATATATATTATTTCTTGACAAGTTTCAAAACAACTTTTTTTGAGTAATAACAGTTACTGTACATGCTTAATTTGAAATACTATTTCTCTTTTTCAGTCATGTTTATGAGGGCAGGTGGGGTATAATAAAGCATGGTATGTCATTTCTTATTTCAAATGTATGAGCTTATTGCCTGCATGTATGTATGTGCACCCCATGCTGTGCAGTGCCCAAGGAGCCCCGAAGAGGGTGTCAGAACCCCTGGAACTTGAATTACAGACTGTTAAACCCCATGTGGGTGCTGGGGACAGGACCCAGGTTCTGGACAAGAGGCAAGAGTGGTGAGTGCTCTTAACCACTGAGCCGTCAGCCCCAACATGGTATTTTTAAAGGAGAGTTCTGGGGCCAATGAGAGAGCTCAGGGGTTAAAGGCACTTGCTGCCAGATCAAGGCTCTGGAACCCAGAATGGCAGAAGGAGAGAACTTGAGTCCCCCAAATTGTCTTCCAGCATCAGCTCCTTGTAACATATGTGGGACAAACACGCTAAATAAATAAATATACAAGGAAAATTAAATGAGAGTTGTTAAAAAATATGTAAGTTAATTGAGAAAGGTGAGATTAGGTTTTGATTCAATGCCTTTTGACGAACAACTGTTACTGTTCTAATAGCTACATTAAAAATAAGAGGCAGTTGGCATCACTGGACAAGAAACTTGAAGTCTAGGCCGCGCCCGATCTAATTCCAACTGAATAATGCCCAACCTGGAAGCTCTCTTGGACTGTTCTTGAGAGCAAGTTCTTTGAGGCAGCACCAGTAATAGTTTATGCAGTCTTTCTGTCACTCATTGTACCAGCATGGGACAGATCAGAACAAGGTCATTTTCTCCTGTTGCTGACCAGCTGACTCACTTCTTTAAAAATCTCTTTTTTTAATGATTTATTTATTTTATTTTATGTGGATTGGTGTTTTGCCTGCATGTATGTCTGTGTGAGGGTGTCTTATCACTTGGAGCTGACTACAGATAGTTGTGAGCTGCCATGTGATTGCTGGGAACCTCTGGAAGAGCAGCCAGTTCTCTTAACTACTGAGCCATCTCTCCAGCTCCTAAAAATCTTTTATATCCATGGAGTGTTTGATAGTTAATTATGCTGACAAATTATTATATTAAAGTTGAGTTTTTGAGGTTTTCATCTCTAATTTTTAAGGTACATATATTCTAAATAGCTTAATTTTCAAGCTTAAACTGAAGGAAAACCTTATTTAACACTGTCTTTTCAATGATGTTACATGTCTCTGTCCTGCTTTGAATTACCTTTACAAAACAGTGAGTGAATGAGTTAATGACTAGATATCCATTCATACTGGGTTTGTGTCTTGATTTCTTTTTCTTTTGTGTGTATGTGTGTGTTCACATTTTTATTTAATGTGAACAGATGTTTTGCCTGCACATATGTCTATACACCACATGCCCAATATCCTTGAAGGCCCAAAGAAGGCATTGGAGCACCTCGAACTGGAGTTACAGGCATTTATGAGCTGTCATTTGGCTGCTAGAGATCAAGCTGAGCTATCTCTCATGCCCCATGATTCTAATTTTTAAAAACCACTGTCAAACAGTTGGGTTTAAATGAGAGATACAAAGTTATTAAGGTTAAAGCTCAGTTTTGGTTCTGGGTGGTGTTTAGAAATAAAGCACAGTGTCCCCTGGCCAGCATATTAAAAGTTCATAAAATTACAGTTAAATCAGTTATCAAACTGTCCAAAAACTTCTGTGGGCTTATATAATTCCCTCATCTGTTATATTACTTATTCCTCAGATTTATTGCAGTGCGTACCAGAACCCATTGCCTACGAAACCCCCGCAGCTTTTGTCACATATATCACAGAGATTAATGCTTCATTAAATAAGGCTCATGGCTAAAAACAAAAAACAAAAAAAAACCCTAAACTGAATTAACCCACCCTACAGAATTCAAAGACTTCTAATTTTTTTGCATTCTTTGATATGCAGTAATTATATTGTTGTTAGAAAGCAAAGT